TCCCACCAACAGGAAATAAGTGTTCCTTTTTATGCACAACCTTGCCAGCATATGTTGTTTTTTTGACTTTTTAATAGTAGCCATTCTGATTGGCATGAGATGGAATCTCATTGTGGTTCTGATTTGCAATTATCTAATAATCAGTGATGCTGAGCTTTTTTTCTAGTCCCATTAAATTGCCATTAACATTCTTCACAGAAACAGAAAAGACTATTTTAAAATTCATATGAAGCCCAAAAAAAGCCCAAAAGCCAAAGCAATCCTAAGCAAAAAGAACAAAGCTAGAGGCATCATGCTATTCGACACCAAACTATACTACAGGGCTACAGTAACCAAAACAGCATGGTACTGGTACAAAAACAGACATATAGACCGATGGAACAGAATACAGAACCCAGAAATAAGACTGCACACCTACAATTATCTTATCTTTGACAAACCTGACCAAAATAGGCAATTGTGAAAGGATTCCCTATTCAATAAATGGTGCTGGGAGAACTGGCTAGCCATATGCAGAATATGGAAACTGGACACCTTCCTTACATTATATGGAAAATTAACTCAAGATGGATTAAAGACTTGAATATAGTAAAACCCCAAACTATAATAATCCTGGAAAACAACCTAGGCAATACCATTCAGGACATGGACACAGACAAAGATTTCATGATGAAGACACCAAAAGCAATTGCAACAAAAGCAAAAATTGACAAATGTGATCTAATTAAACTAAGAAGCTTCTGCAGAGCAAAAGAAACTAACAACAGGGTAAACAGACAACCTACAGAATGGGAGAAAATTTTTGCACTCTATGCATCTGACAAAGGTCTAATATCTTGCATCTATAAGGAACTTAAAACAAATTTACAAAAAAAAAAAAAACACTACAAAGTGGGCAAAAGACATGAACAGACACTCCTCAAAAGAAGACATACATGTGGCCAAAAATCATGTGAAAAAAACTAACTCAATGTCGGTGATCATTACTAAAATATTATGGGATCACCATCATATATGTAGTCAGTTGTTGACCAAAAAAATCATTATATGTCACATGATTACACACACACACAGAGTCACAAAAATACATATAGAAAGAGAAAAATGTTTACTGTATATTTGACTTTAAGCTCCATGACAGGTGGGAGCCTTGTTCCTTTATGTCCCAAATGTCAGGGACCTCAGTTATATCCCCAGGATTTGCATACAGTAAGAACTTAATAAATAATTAATTAATTGATGAATGAAGGATTGAATGAAAATATCTCAAAAATTAACTAATAGTGTATGCTAATATTGGGTCCTTATGAATTGTTTAAAATTTAGACATATAAGTGATCTCAGAAACTGCCTACTCCAAAACCTTTGCTTTGATAATGGACATGCACAGGTTCAGAAGGATCTTTTTATAAGTAAAAAAGCCTGTCTTTAGCAGACCTAAAA